GAAAAAAAAAGAGGCTGGAGAAATGGCTCAGCAGTTAAGAGCACTGCCTCTTTGTTCATCAAGAAACTGATTCAATTCCTAGCACCCACAGGCTGGCTCATAACCACCTCTAACTCCACTTACAGGGGACCCAAAGCCCTCTTCTGGCCTCTGATGGTACTGCATGCATAGTATGAGGACAGACATGCAGACAACATCTGTACCCATCAAATAAAATGAAAAAAGAGACATAGATAGATAAATATAGATGGATGGATGGATGGATGGATGGATGGATGGATGGATGGAAGGATGGATGGATGGAGGGAGGGAGGGAGGGAGGAAGGAAGGAAGGAAGGAAGGAAGGAAGGAAGGAAGGAAGGAAGGAATCCAAATGAGTCTAGAAGACTTGTAGTACAGTGAACTAGGACTAGCATGTACGAGGACCTCTGTTGATTTCCAGCCCAAAAAGAAAAGGAAAGAAAGGAACTAACATACGTAATTCTATCAAGAAGACTCACCTGAGCTTGAGCAAATTGGATTCTCCTCTCTGAATCTTGCATTCTTCTGTTGCAGAGTGGATTCCTTAACTAAATGTCAGACCAGGTTGTAAATGATTGGCATCTTCCATCTGTCTCATCCACCTGGCTATCTTGGGATCATTTGTCTTTCAATAATCCCTCTCACTCTTCCAAGCCTTCAGCAACGGGATTTAAATTCAAGACCACATAAATTGTAATCCTAGCATTCAGAAGTGTGAAGCAGGAGGATTGCCATGAGTTTGGGACCAACTTGGTCTACATAGCAATTCTGAAGCCAGTCTGGCCTACATAGTTACACTTTGTCTAAATGAATAGCTTAAAATCTTAATTATTGAGCCAAGCATAGTAGCACATGCCTGCATTCCCAGGACTCACCAGATGAAGAAGTCTGGGAGTTTGAGGCTAGTCTCAGGTACATGTTGAGTTTGTGTCCAGCCTGGACTACTTGAGACCCTGACTCAAAAAGGCCACCAAGTTCAAAAAGATTCCTTCTGGTGTCTGACGATAGGCAGAGCCAGACAGCAAAGCCCACCTGGGAAGGCAGGTTTGGAAGGGGAGTGGCACCACAGTCCCTAATGGTTGGACTTTGTGTCATTCACACACATGGACTCCTCAGGCCCTGCATAATTACAAGGTTGCTTTTACTCACCGAATAGCCTGGGAAACTTTTATGCAAATCACTTGAAAGTTAGGAGTAACAAATCCATTTTCTATGCCTCAGGCAAACAGATAGAAAATTATAGTTTGGAAGTTCAACAAAAATAACAACCCAATTCCCAAACCAAATGATCTATCTATATGTTTGGTGGAGAGGTGTGTTTTGGATGAGTCCTCTGGCCTGGATCAGAACACTTCAGCCAGGTGACACAGAGCCATTCACTGGCTGTGCCAACATGTATTCTTTCTCTGACCTGGAGTCACAACCGAATGTCCCCGCTCCAAGCCTCTATCTTTATGTTCCCCACTGATGGGAAACTCCGTGTCTCAGGACACAGAGAGCCCTTTCCCATACTGCAGCGGGTCCACCAGCCATTGAAAATGAGGTTAGCACATTCTCACATAAATTAATGGCCCAGGAAGCCGCTGTCCCTGTCCCCCCATTCATCCACAGCTTTATGGATGCTGAATGGGAGGGAAGCCTTCCGCTGAAAACAAAAACACCTTCTTTAACGTCAGAGGCAGTGTGCAGAATTTGTTCTTTACGGAGATGAAAAGGTGGCCATCCATCCAAAGCCCCTGATTACCAACGGGCACTCTTTTTTTTTTTTCCTTCAAGTGAGCAAAGCCCACAAATCCACAATTGAAGATTCTTAAGTTCAAAAAAATAAATACATTTAACTATGCTTGGAATTTTTTGGAATAAATCAATTTTGCACATATTTAGACTTCAAGTGACCTCAACGGTTCAGGGAAGCTTTTGCCCCAGCCAGGCTTCCGAATGAGAAAAAAAATCTCTTTGCAGGGTTTCTCCCCCTCTCCCTTCTTCAAGTGGCTGGAACCCCTTTTGTCAATGGCCCCCCGTGAATGCTGTTACTAATAACCCTATTAATGAGTTTCCACGGCTGAGTGTGAATAGGTAAATAAGCCCCAATCTGTTGAGGTTCTGGGGGTGAGGGCAGAAAAGCCAGCAAGAACTCAAGGTGACAGTTTGAACTGAAGACAGCTAGGCGGCAGGTTTCAGCTGAAAGAAACCCCCAGACAAGGCCACATTCTCCACCCTCCACCCCCTACAGGGCCTCCTTTCTTCCCAATTTTCCCCTTTTACAAAATGTCTTGAGTAGTCACCCTTTTCTTTCCCCCCCAAGGGCCTCAGGACCCCCCCTCCCCCGCTCCTCTAGTAATGATACATCAATGGAATGAAAGAAAAGACGAGGACACCAGAATGCTGCTATCCGATACATTTCAAGAAACAAATTGTGAGCTTAGGCCATTGCTGTGAGAGGAGAAAAGGAAAGGGGTAGGCTCGGCCTTTCTCTGTTGAGAGTCTTATGTTTCCTTTTAATAATTTGTATTTTAATGGGTTGTGTTTGCTTCGCCCTATGGAAAAGTTGGGTGAACAAAGACTGTGTGACATTGAAGAGCTCTCCAACCCTGCCAGTAGGGGCCAGGCTACATGGAAATTTTTGGGCTTTATAGTCTTTAAGTGACATCTCTATAAAGTCCAAAGCATGGCTGGAGTTCAAGCTCATGACCCAGGGGCACAGCCAGGCAGCTTACTCCAGGATGAGAAAAGAACCCAGTCTCTCCGCTCCGCCCATCAGTTTGTGATATTTCACTAAGGCAAAAGACATTGATCCCCTGATACCGAATGTCACCCAGGATTCTAAACTGGATGGACCTGCTTCCCTGGGGATATGGAGTCCTTCTGGAAGCCAGACATGATGATGCAAACCTGTAATCCCAGCACTAAGGAGACAGAGACACAGAACCAGCAATTCGAAGACAGCCTTGGGTAGGGAGCTCAAGGCCATCCTGGGCTACATGAGACCATGGCTACAGAAGAATAGTGTCCTCCTAGTAGGCCTATCTCACTTCGATGCCAAGGGAATTTGCTCTTTGGGGGTGGGAGGCCTTGTGGCAGCCTCCTCTTCCTTGTTAGCTCCTAGAACTGTGTGAACCTGAGCCAGTTAACTTCAATTCTCTGAGTTATCAGTTTTCTCAGCAGTCAAGGAGGGGACATAGCTGCCCCGTGGGTCCCAAAGAACGTGAATGGATGAGGATGTGCAGACACTAGGGTACTTGCAGGGCTTTCAAGAAACTTTGGCAAATGGGAGAGGCACGTGTGTCCCATGATGATCACCAACCACCCCACAGGTTCTACTCCTACCTCCCAGGACTGACTATCAAGGGATTGAGCATGGAGCCTACTGCCTTGACATTGCTGTACTATTACTAGCAGTTAGTAAGGACCTCCACTACTGTATGCCAGAGCCCTCTCACCCCGGCAGAACAGCCCAATGAGAATCACCTGAGAGGCCAGCCTTAACGTGGTGGTGTCCTTGGTTGCACAGAACATGGGTGCCAGGAGGAGGTTAAGACACCTCCATGCTGGTCGGTACGCACTGCTCCTACACGGTAGTTCCTGGGGGACGGTGAAAGGGCTGGGTGGAGCTGGGTGGAATCACACTAGAGGATACATTTGGCCCTCGGGACCACCCTGCCAAGAAAACCAGCAGAACACACAGATCCAGCAAATCTGACATCATGTGCTCTTCTCTCTGGAGTCCACACAGAGGTGTACATTCTTCCTCCTTTGCTGGCTATTTGAGTAATTTCATAATTTAAAAGAAAAAGCAAAGGACACTCCACAGGTGGACGGTGTGGGCTTTCATCTCAACACTGCCCCCTTCTGCCCTGTGCCCCGTGAACAGGGATGAGTTCCTGCCATCTGCTAACCTGAATGGAGAAGGGACCTGGTTGGCTAGCTGCTTAACCAAAGCAGCCACATGGTTGGCTATGATGCCGTCAGTCCCTTGGTGGCTGGTAAGCAGCACGGGACAGTAGAAACAGCACTAGGTCCAGGCCCCCCAGGCTTGGTTTTCAGCCCACGTTAAAAGGGCTGGCTGTGGTTCCTATAGTGCTGTAGTGCTGTGCTCATCACTATTGCAGAATTGAGGTGCACCCCCCTACTGAGCGCATGCACCCATCTAACCTAAAGGATAAGCTCTCTGGTGGGTCTCCCCGCCTATACCTTGAGGTCCGTTACCTGTCATCATTTACCAGTCACTGAAGGACATCTGTATCACAGGAACTCAGCATCTACGTGAAAGAACTGACAGTTGTCTTCCGAGCACTGCTGATGACCCATGCCTACTCATAATGAGCCTCTACAGGAAAACACCTCTAATCCCGGCCCCTTGCTATCTAAGGGCGTGGCATGTCACTTCTTGGCTGCAAGCCTCCGGGCCCACTGTCCTCATCCCCATCCTCAGCACACAGGGACTACCTCCACTACAGCGGTCCACCACACCCCTCCAGCAGACTACAGAGAAGTTACGCGTATGGTTGTACCCGGTGCTGAACAAACAGGAAGAGATTCACTATCGTATTCAACTCTGCCTTTAGTTCCCACCTGTCACGCGTCCCCTGCCTGGAGCCCTATGCTCCAATTTGGTAGCCCATGTGTAGCTAGGGTTGCCATGGTGAACAGGAGATGTGAGAAGCTATTGCTACCGTGACACTGAACTGGGCTGGACCAAGCCCTCGTTTACCTCTTCTTCCTCCAGGAGGCCTTCAGGAGTTGTTTCTTCCTACCCAAGCCCATCTAGACTGTTCCCAAGGCCTAGATAGGAGCACCTTGCATTGTCAGAAGGACAATGCTTCTCAACCTTCCTAACACTGCAACCCTTTAATACAGTTCTTCATGTTGCTGTGACCCCCATCATAAAATTATTTCATTGCTACTTCATAATTGATTGCACTGCTGTTAAGAATCATAATGTAAAACATCTGCGTTTTCCGATGGTCTTAGATGATCCCTGTGAAAGGATTGCTTGACCTCCAAGGGGGGGTCAAGGCCCACAGGTTGAGAACCACTGACTTAAGAGAAGGCACTTTGCTGCTTAGCATGGAAACAGCATGGTAGAAATACTGTGGAGGTCTTGTTCAGCAAATACAATGTTTACTGTTGACCCATGAACTTGTGTCCTGCATTACCTTCTCATCCTGAGACCCCCTTGAGTCAGTCTTTGCTCTCAAAGAGACTTTCTCTGGGCCTCCAACTCCCCACACTGTTCCCTCCAATCCTTGGAAATTCACAGCTGTGAGTACCTGGTCCTGGGGCAAGCCTAGCAGAGACTCGACATGTACAGTGGTCCTGGAGACAGGAGCTGGGTGGGGAGTGCTAGGCTTCCAGGAAAGACACAGTCTCTACCTCTCTGAGTTCCCAGGACTCGGGCCTGCCTGGCATGCGAGAGCAGTTTGGTGAACTGTGCTTGTAGCTAACGTGCCTGCATAGATTCTCGCTGACTGATGGTGACTGAAACACAGCATAGCCTCTTCCTGTCTCTTCGCAGTGTGCCCGGGAAAGCATATTCTCGATGAGGTTTAACACACAGTGAGGTCTACCTGGAAATTAGGGATAAAACGCCATTTTAGGGCAAGACTGACTTAGCTTGTTTGCGGTGACCCAGTTTCCACGGTGCGAGCTTCCTTTTCTGCCGATTTCTGCATTTTCGTTATGCTATTTCTCGAGGGTGTGTGTCTATTTTGTCCAACTGTGTAAAGAAGTTGCCTTAATAAACCAAAAGGGAGGAAACAGTTGCTGCCAGGATCCCGCTGAACTCTGAGAAGGGAATGCAGAAGGGAACCACAAACCCCGTAACCCTTTTAGGGCCCCAGAGTGCTTGTATTTTGTTCCGGCCCCCAAGGAGGGGGAGATCTCTTTCACAGATTTCTAAGAACAGCGCTGTGCAAAAGTTAACTTCTTCTCTGAGCTGATACTCGGGGACCCAGGAAGCAGGTGGCTCAGGCGCAGGAGACTTCGGATCTCAGACTGAGTGTGGGGACTCTTTGTTCCTTAGGTTCTGCACTGGGAGGTAAATGAGTATCGGACGCTAGCGCCTCCGTGTGGCCGTGGGCGTACCTGCAGACAAAAGAAGGAAGGGCACTCGGGAGGCCAGCACACTGGCTCTGGGTGGCCTGACAGGTACAAGAAAAGGGTTTTCCAGGATGGCAGGAGCATGGTCATGCCCACACTGCTCCCGGCTTCCAGGGCTTCCTGCTGTCAACTGATGCAGCGGTTGGTGGGGAGGCGTGTCTGTAGCAAGAAATACAGGTGCTTGCCTAATCCCAGCTGAGATGGCCTGTCTGGGGCTGGCGTCCAGCCTGAAAGACAGCATCAGCAGTTCAGGGTGTTACTACTTCAGGCCTCTTCTCTGTCCACTGGGTGACCTACCCCCCCCACACACACAGGCTGTTCTACACGTCCTACTTGTGGCCCCATGTCTCCACCTGGATGAGCAAGGTTTCAAACGACCTCTGCAGCTTATTCTGCCCTTAGCAGACCTGATTGGAGTCCATCTGCACTGCGGCCTCCAAGCATGAGGTCCCCAGAGGCCACTCAGTCCCTACTGTGGGCTATACTCTTGTGAAAACACAGCCATCCTTCCCGTCCTGGAGACAAACCAAATCGCCTAGCTCCTTGCTATGACGTGATTAAAGCAGTTTAAGGAAGGAAGGGTTTCTTTTGACTCAACCATGTCAGGGATGGCATGGCAGTAGGGGCTGGAGGTGGCTGGTCATTTTGCTCCAGTCAAGAAGAAGAAAGCTTAATTTTTTCTTTTTACTCAGTCCAGGATCCCCGCCCACATACTGGTGACATTCATTTAGGGTGTGTCTTCCTTCTTCCATTAATCTCATCTAGATATTCCCTCACAACTATGCACAGACAATTTGTTCCCATGGTGGTTCGAAACCCCATCCAATTAGTAGTCAAGACTGACCATTCTAGATCCCTTTAGGATCCCAGCCAGTTCGGCCTTCTCTCTATGGGATCACTACCTTCATTGTCCAAGAGATCACTCAGTTTTGGTGGGTCCCCATTTGCAGGCTCATGACTCGGTATCCTTAGCGTGGGGGGAGGGGCTTTCTGGCAGACATTCATGGGTACCTAGTGTCCTAGCAACTCCATGGTCTTTTAGGGGTTTTCTACTTTGAAGCACATGAACCCTGTGATCGATCTCTAGGTGATCAGTCCCTGGTAACAAGACAAGCTATGGTGCAGGGAGCTCAGCCAAGGACACTGTCACAGGGAAGGGGTGGGCTTTAGAGATGCTGACATTGGCCCTGGGGCTGCATCTTTGGCTGACTGTAGTGGGTATGAACCTGGGATTTGGAATCCAGCTGTAAGGGACTTTGTGTCTGGCCCTTCCTCCCACAGATCAATGTGGTAAGTGAGGCACAAACCACTCTGCGGATCTCCAGGTCCTGTGTCCATGGATTCAAGCCTTCTTTTCTCCGAGACAAGGTTTCTCTGTGTAGCTCTGGTTGTCCTGGAATTCACTCTGTAGACCATGCTGGCCTTGAACTCACAGAGATTCACCTGCCTCTGCCTCCCAGAGTGCTGGGATTAAAGGTGTGTACTACCACCACCTGGCTCTGTGTCTGTAGATTCAACTAACTGAGAGATTTGGCAAAAAAAAAAAAAAAAAACAATTATATTTGCATTTAATGAGCACATATTTTGTGTGCTGTGCTATATTTTCTGAACCATGCAGTAGAGTGACTCTCTACATTACATTTACATCGTCTCGGTATCACAAGTAATTTAGAGGCTATTTTACAGTTTACTGGAAGATGAGCAGTTGATATGCAAACACCATACCATTACATGTAAAAGATTTGAGCAGGCTCAGAGTTGAATAGCTGTAGGTGGCCATGGAGCCAACCCCTCACAGACGGAAAAGGACACAAAGAACACTGGCATCAACTTAACAGTCTGCAGGGACTGAAAGCACTGGTAGAGGACTTTGTTCACTGTGAACAACTAACTCATGCCCTTTGCATCATTTTCATACCAGAGCCTCGAGCCCACCCTCGCTGGAGCCCTTTTCTGTCCCTGGCCTCGCTTGCCGCTGCTTCTGTCTGCGGGCTCATATTAGGCAAATGATGTGGCCCTCCGAGCCCCTGCGTCCCTACTTGTGAACTATGACTCTCAGACATAACTGACTCTGAAACCATCAGCAGGCATTGGCTTACACTGTCTAGGGCAGAGTTCTCCCTCTATGTCTGCTAACAGATCCTCAGCATAGCCAGGAGAGCCACCCTGTTGTTAGCTTCTCTGACAGCTGGAAGAGTCATCTTTATCACTGTATTCCCATTTGTGCCGTTCTGTAAATAGGGGGAAAGATCCATTTGTTTGCTTTATAAAAATCCTCAGTGTGCTGAAAAGGGATTTAGAAACAAACCGTTGTTAGCCTCGTTTCCTACAAATGAGACACCACTTCAGAACTCTGAGGAACCTGGTTGCCAAATCTAACTCTCTCTCTCTCTGTCTCTCTCTCTCTCTCTCTCTCTCTGTCTCTCTGTCTGTCTCTCTCTCTGTCTGTCTCTCTCTGTCTCTCTGTCTCTCTGTCTGTCTCTCTGTCTCTCTCTCTGTGTGTGTGTGTGTGATTCCTTGTTATATCTGAATTTGAGGTAAACAGCAGCTCATTTTTTATTGTCTTTGCCCACACAGCATCATATGAGCAAATATCACATAGGATATGCATACATCAAAGCATAACTCAGCATTTCTCTGAAATTCTGATTGAACTGAGTATCTGGTATTAAATACGGCCTCCCAGTGCTGGGCAGGAGCCAGTGTCACTGGAGTTCTGCCTTGCTTCTGTTGCTATGGTAGCACTGACCAGAAGCAACTTGTGGGAAGGAGAGGTTTGTTTCACTTTCGTGTTGTGTATAGCTCATCATGGAGGGACATTAAGGCAGATGCCCCGAGAAGGAACCTGGAGGCAGGAACTAAAGCAGGTACCATGGAGGAACGCTGCTCACTGCTTGTTCCCAGCCGTGCATTCCGCTACCTTTCCAAGGATGGTACCACCCACAGTGGACTGGCCATCCTGCATCTTTGGGCAATTAAGAAAGTGCCCCATGTGCATGCCCACAGGCTGATCTGAGTTAGGCAATTCCCCAGTTGTGGTTCCATCTTCCCATGTGACCGTAGCTTGTGTCAAGAGGACAATAAAACCAAGCAGGACACGTGGGTTGAGTGGCTGGGGCAAGTCCAAGGGAGACAGGCAACTAGAAGCCTGCCGTCCCGGGTTTATACAAGAGAGCCTTGTGAGAATGGAGGAATAGCACTGTAGCACTGAAGGGAACCCTGAAATGTCTTTCTTGGGTTTGGTTTCCTGGGCCACTGCAGCAGCCTGGCCTTGCTTCATAGTGACTGGTATATATGCTGATAGAGCTGTTTATGCGTTTGGTGGTGGCTGCAATCATATCTTTTAGACCCAAGCTTCCTGTTGAATGAACTACCACCCTGGGTTAGACCTGAACCATTGGAAATGTGATAATTGGTTGTCATGTGTATAGATCTTGCCACCATGATGGTCATTATGAAACCCCAACCTTAAGGCACAAGTTCCTCCTGGACCACAACAGACACTGTGTGACTCTCAGGAGAAAGCATGGCCACTGTCCATTCCTCAGCGTACAGGGACCATATGCCCCAAGAAGGATATACCATTGGTTCCCTTGGTTTTCTGCCAGGTTAGCCGGAGGAATGGGTACCAGACTATTACAGCATTCCTCTTGAGCCTCTGTGGCTCTTGTACCCCATCACGACAATGCTATAGGGAGCTCGGGTACAAACAGAGTCTTTGTCCTCAAAGGAGCCAGAGAAACTCCTGCTCCAAACATTTCCAGCCTCCAGCGCCCTTATTTCTCAGACACAGCCCCTGCTACAGGCTCTGGTCCTCCAAACATGCCTTGTGTTGGAACACCTTCGCTTTTGTCAGCAGTTTGGGGTGACCCCACCAGTGCTGGCCACACCTGCCTCATCCTTTTTTACCTCCATGACAACTGTCTTATCCACAGATCCGCTCTATCTGCTCTCAGTTTGCCTGATGCTCATCTCTGCCGCACACTCCTTAGCTCCAGGCAGCTGGCTCTGTCTAGTCTAGGTCTTTGGTTTCAGTTTCATAGGTCATCTAGCATCCCTATGTTGTACACCGGTTGTGACATTTGTTCTGTAAATGTCTTACAGCTCCCTATTTTGTTGTAAGCAGTTGCCATGAGCTTACAGACTAAAACCACATAAAGGGAGCCAGATGGTGGTGGTGCTTGCCTTGGAAGGCAGAGGCAGTGGATCCCTGTGAGTTTAGGGCCAGTCTGGTGTGCAAAGTGAGTTCCGGGACAGCCAGAGCTACAAAGAGAAACCCTGTCTTGAAAAACTAGACAGACAGACAGACAGAGAGACAGACAGAGAGACAGACAGACAGACAGACAGACAGACAGACAGACAGACATAAAACCACAAAAGGGTGCTCTCACAGGCCTGTGGAGCGCAAGTTCTGCTGCTCACAGTTGCGCTGGGCAGGAATCTGCCTCTGCATTCACACAGGGTACCGACTGGATTCTGTTCTAGCATCCTGGCTCTCAGCACAGGTTCCTCGTGCATTCATCAGGAAGCATGTCTCAGCTCCTCCCTCCATTCTCAGTCAGCACAGCACATAAATGCCTCTCGGTGCCATGTAGAGCCAATCGCGTATGCTGTCTCTTAGCTCTGCTCCAGCAGGAAAAGTTGCCTCTTTTTTTCACCCATCTGAAGAGAAGTCCCATCCAAATACCTTCAGAGTGTAAGGAAACACTAACTCTCTCCTATCTGAAAAGTCGCTTTTACTAGATTTGGGTATTAAAACCAGGACACCCTGAGGGAAAAAACAGAGAATACACCCCGCTTCAGAGAGAACAAAGAGAAATATTCTTCTCCTGGGGCTTCTGGAACATGGACTAACTGACTGTCTCATGGGTTCTGGAGGCTGGAAGTCCTAGTGAAGATGTCTGTGGGGTGGCGCTCTCTCCGCAGCTCGCAGGAGCCCCTTCCTTTCCTTTTCTAGTTCCTGGAGGTTGCCTGCTATCCTGGGGCACCCCAAGCATTCTCAGCACCCTTGGCTTCTGCCTCAGCTCTTCAGTTGCTGTGCCTAGTGTTTCTTTACCTGGTGTTCCTCCGTATGTCCTTGGTTAACTCGCCTCTTCTCCGTGTGTCCTTGGTTAACTCGCCTCTTCTTAGAAGGACGTCTGTCCTATTGAATGAGACCCTGCTGTCAAACAGGAATGTATTCCTAGGTGCCCCAAAGATGATGCTGGGAGAGCATTCAGCACAGGGCTGACTTCTAGCTGAGCATGACCAACAGTAGCAGCTGGCCAAGCCTAGGGCAGGTCCCCTCTCGGTCACTGTGGGTATCAACCAGATTGACAAGTGAGAGTTGCCCAAAGTCATGGCTCCCTTTAGCCTTCCAGCCTATCTGGCCCCTGCCCATATTAAAATCAATTTCTCCACTCCTCTTTACTGGGCATGGCTCCTGCCTGGGAGTGACCCTTCACCTCTTCTGGGTCATTCAGGTCCATGTCTTGAGCGCTCTTCAGATCTCACTATTCCGGGGAAGTTGTTGAGTTCTTGTCCTCACCCCTACCCCAAGGTGCTGTGCTCTCTGGCAGGGCAAGCTGAGTAAGGAGTGGGCATCTTCACCATCCTGCTACATACACAGCTGGCTGGAGAAAGAGCCAGCTGTTAGGAAACTCAGAGTGAAGATGCCACTCATCGGGGATAAAGACACAGGACATTTCTGCTCTGGGGGCTGCAGTTTAGATGAGTAATTTTCAAGCAAGAGATTACCAGTCTGCCTATCCCATGCCCACATCTTACCATCATGGCCTTCTCTTCATAGAAAGGAAAACAACATTCAAATCCTTTGGCCAGGGTAGTCTACCTTTCCTCTTTTATTTTTATTTTTTTGGACAGGCTCACATAACCCAGGCTAGCCTCAAGATCCATATGTATCCAGAGGATGCCCAGGAACTCCTAATTCCCCTGCATCTACCTCCCAAGTGCTGGAGTTACAAAGCAGACCCCACCATTCCTGATTTATGCCATCCTGGGACGGCACCCAGGACTTCAGGCATGTTAGGCAAACACTCTACCAAATGAGCTACACCTGTAGGCCCCATAACCCTTTCCCCTTTCAATTGTGCTTACTCCCAGTACCCATCCTTCCCACCTGGTTCACAGTGGAGGTGCAGGGTTAAGGACTCAGAGTAGGCTGACAGGAACCCTAACTCTGCATTCTGTGTGACAGACGAGATTCGGGTACTGACTGAGGGGATGCCTCATGCTTGCTCATTACTGACCTCGAATTGGCTTGCCTTAAGCTGCCGAGGGGGAAAAGTTGACACATCCCTTCAGCCATCCAGGGATCTCACACCATGCTTTCAAACATCCACATTTAATAAATCAGAACACGTGTAGACACAGCAGTCCCCAGCCACAGCAGAGTTCTGTGGAGAGCAAAGAATGACTTCCAAACACTTCAGCACTCTGACCTTCCTCATTTCCGGAAGTGTCTTTAAGCTCACTCCCCAGGCACACGTGGGAAAGGAGCTGGAGGAAGATGAGGGACAGCTGTCGCCGCTAGGGGACCAGAAAAGACAATCAGAGCCTCAGAGCGTTGTTCCGATTTGGGAGGAAGGGCTTCCCGGAGGGTTGTCTAACCATCTCTGCATTATCAGAGTCTGACATTGCCCAGGAAGGAATAACCATGGTTTGTTGAATGAACAAATCAAAACAAAATTATTTTAGGCTGCTGGAGAAGGTTCTAGAACACCTCTGATCACTTCCCCCAACCTCTGACACACACTGCAAATAGAAGCTTGGTTTTAAACCCATGCAGCGCCAGAACCAGGCTGCCTTCCTCTTGCAGCCACCTGTGGCCTGGCTGAGGGCAGTGTGGTCAGGAAAACTGGGACACCGCTCAGCCACCGCGGGTCAGAGCTGAGAGCCACGGCCACATGGGAGGCAAAGCCTTTTGCAGCTGTTTATGTGATGTGTATCTGATGGATAAATAAACTTCATTTTCCAGGGCTGCCAATCTCTAAACATGCAGAAATATACATTCGCTCAGAAACTTAAAAAAATAAATAAACAACTACGGTATGTTTGACTGGATCGCCTTAGCGCCCGGCACCTCGCCTTTCAGCTGCTTAATAAACTTGGTTTATGGGTCCCTCCTACAGGCCTGCGTGGAGCAGTTCCGCTAGGAGAAAATGTTCCCTGTCAGGCTGGAGCGGGGGAGGGAGAAGAGGAAACAAGTGGAAAATCTTTCTTTTACAGCACCAGATCCTTCTGGGCAGGTGACATTCGCGTTGTCTAAGAGGTGGCCCAGGAGCTGCAGCTGCCAGTTTCGGCTCGGCCTGAAGTGGGAAGGCTCCTGAGCTGCCCCAGGTACCTTAGATAGGCACTGGCGTTCACATTCTCTCGTCCCCTGTGGGACATACAGACCAGGGCAGGAGGAGAAGAGGGGGATTTAGACAGGCTTCTCCTTTCTCCATGTCAAGCTGGAGTCAGGTACCAAGAATCCTTTTCCCTTCCCCTCCTGACCCAAGCTGCCATGATGGGTGTGTACTCTGCTCACCCAGGACTCTCCCACAGTGAACCTACCCACATGAGGCCATTCATTATTCATTCACAGAGAGCCCACATGGTAGAGGCCCTGGTTTTTTGTGCCCATTGGTCACATTTGATTAGTAAAGCAGTCCAGGGACACAGAATCCAGTATCAGGAGATGGAGGACCAGACATGTCTTAGGAGTTTGGCCAAGGACTTAGATGACCAAAGAAAGAGACCCAGAGCCTGGGGATTACTACTCCACAGGAAATCTTTCAAACTGCATCTATTTTTCTTCCTAACAAAGATTAGAAGAAGAAAACTGGGTGTTTTTTCATCTGTGCAAACCAAGACTGAACTTTAAAAAGCACACAGATGTCATGGACAGGCTGGATGTGGGGGTGCAAAGTCATACAGATAGCATGCAATCTGTAAGAAGTTTTTCTCTTGAGGTTTTAGTGACTGAACCAAGGGTCTTAAAGTGTGTGTGTGTGTGTGTGTGTGTGTGTGTGTGTGTGTGTGTGTGTGTTTAGGTTTGTGCATGCAAGTACAGGTACCTTCAGGGGCCGGAACATGGCATCAGATCCCCTGGTATTGGAGTTATAAGTGGTTGTGAGACACTCAATGTGGATGCTGGAAACCAAACTTGGATCCTCAGAAAGCGGTAAGTATTCTTAACTAGTAAGCTATCTCTTCATCCTGAACCAAGATTCTTTCACATGTTAGATAAGAAGTCTCCACTGAGCTACACACCCAGCCCTGCAACCCAGACTGTAAAAATAATGTGAGATGATCTCTCAGGAAAAGATCAATTCCCCCCATGCCAGGGTGAAGACAGGGGTGACCCTGGGACACAGAGGGTAGTCTGCCTGCAAAATGAAAGGTGGATGGGGTGTCTTCAAGGACTCCTTTACCTCTGGTGATGGAGGAGTCATCTTCCAGGCCCAGTGTGCATTGTAAATGCACATCCTGACCATCCATAACACTTCATAAGAAATGAGGAAAATGTGATGTCAACCCTCAGAGATCTTACTAGCAAGCCATTTCTGGGGTTCTCAGTATATCAAATGATTCAAAATGCAGCCTCCACTGACTGTCACATGGTTCTGCTGCTAACTGGGCTCAGGCAGGTGCTTCTTCTACTTTAAGGTGGTGGTCCCAAGAGCTGTTCTTCTCCTGAAACTCACATGGCTGGAGGTCCATGTCAAAGAAGTACCTCAGTTTCCCTCCCTGCACCTGTCCACAGGACTGGGCTTCTCAGTGTGGTAGTAGGTTCCAGGCAGGAGTATCCCAAGCAAATGAAAAGCTACAAATCTCTAACAGTAGCCTAGGAAGTTGTAGAGCAACGTTTTTCGCATCTCATTGAGCAAAGCAAGTCGGAAGCTGCCTTCGCCCCTGATGGGAGGCGTGCCAAGAAACTGGAGGTCTTCCCCTCACCACAGGTTACTAGGGGAGGACAGCGAACATGTTTCACATTGAACGCATCCTTACAATGCTAAAGACCTCACTCGTGGATTGACTTACATGAGAAAGGACAGAAGGATGGTCAGTCGCAACCGGTGAGGAGACCCACAGTACAGAGGTGCGAAGTCCTGGAAACAGAAGCATCTGTACCTTCTCGTCTACATATGAGATGGGGTGGGGGCTTGGTGCTTAAGTGCCATTGACCATCTATGTTTTCTTTCTCCTTGAGTTTGCAGGCTCTAGATGCAAACAGAAGTGTTTGTTGATCATCAACACCCACTTCAGGTCTGTGGTGACATCAGACTAGGAAAGCCATTTCCCCTCTGCATCCAAACTCCAAACACACTTCCCAACACATGCTTTTCACCAGTGGTAATCCTGTGAACTAAAAGGAATGGTGCTGAGCCCTAGAGCTTCGTTCACGTGTGGGAAGTCACAGCTCCACAGACACAGCATGTACAGGACACCTGTGCTTTAGCTCATTTCCCCAACGCCGCCTGACCACAGATGTTACACCTCAGCCCAGCTGGGCTCTCAGGACCCCCTGCGCATCCAGAAGGCCAGTTCTATTCATTCCTGGGCAAGCTGGGGAGGGGGTGTCAGAAATCACTTTAAATCACCTTAAATGCCTCTCCAGAGAGTAACACAGAAAGCGCAGCAGATTTCCAGACTCTCTCACCCCCACAGCAATTCCAGAGCACAGGAAGGGGACACCATCCCCTGCAGCTCATCGGCCTGGACAGGGCAGACCACTGCCCTTGAACATCCCTATCGCCTGCTCCCTAAATGGCACATGGCCTATAAGCAGTTGTCACATATTTGTCATTTTTAAAGTTATGTTTATCCTATCCCTGCCACACACCATGTGTGAGTGTGTGTGTGTGTGTGTGTGTGTGTGTGTGACTGTGTGACTATGCCTGTATACCACTGTGCATGTGTGGAAATCAAAGTGCCACTTGTGGAAATTGGTTCTCTCCTTCTACCCTGTGAATCCTGGAGATGGAACTCAGGTTATCAGATTCGGTGACTGGCACCTTTGCCTGCTAAGCCGTCTTGCCAGCCTGACACATGGCTCCCTACCTTTTTTGTGTGTGGGTTCCTCAAAACAAATTTAAATTTAAAATTCCTAAAACAAACAAGATCCCCACACCAAAGCATAGCCTAGATTTGGACTTTTGG